GCTCTTATTATTTACTTATTCTTTTTTTTTTTTCAGAAGTCCAGGGGGGCGAGCCCCCCCCTTGCACCCTCCTGGCTTCCGTGCTCAAATGCAAGTATGCAACAAGCTAAGCTTTTCAAGTCATGTCACATGCTGAAGAATGTCAGCTGTTTAAGAATCACTAACAAAACTTTGAGGGTAATTTAGAGAAATAGGCAAATCATAAGGAGACATAAACATGTCGAGTCATCATTTCTCCCCAGCACCATGTCTTTTGCTGAAACAATGAACTGCCCCACTAGCCAGACAAACCCATCAAATGTCCTCACCTAAAATCTAATGGTTAGTTGTTATATTTAAATGAATGCATGAAAAAGATTCACCAAATCCATTAGCAAACAAGAAGCTAGAACTATAGGAATGAACCAGAATGCTCCAAGAGGGGACTAGAAGTTTGAGATACTTTTTAAAGTAACCAAGTAGATTAATGATAATCACAACGGAACTTTTAAGAAAAAAGCGACAAAAGGTAAGATCAGTCCATAAAAGGAGGTCCTAATCCTAATGTCACATAGTTAACAAGTGGAAAAGGGAATAAAAGATGATACTTACATGTGGAAATGCCAGGTTTCTTGAGTTAACACAGTGGCCACTGTTGTTGACTGAAATGGATCCACTTATTTTCAGGAGTGCCCAAAAACAATGATTGCAACCCTTTTGCATGCTCCAGACACTGAATACTTGGCCATCTACCTTCATATTCCTTGCTTACTTTAAGGAACAGCATGCTCATATGGCACTTCTTTTCAGGAGCACGGAGCAACACATTGGAACTGATAAAAAACCCTGTTATACCAAACATCTGCAACATTTTCCAGCCACTATCTGATCAAATATAATATATGAATTTTTTCAGTTTGTTTGGAGCATATCAAATGACCAAACAAATTAGTGACATTGTAGGAAAATGTCTATATTGACAAACATAGATCAGTCTTCCCCAAAATAGCGCCCGAATGAGTAACAAGAAAGAATCATTAGCTATATCACTTTCAAATATCAAATTATTTGCATGAAACTACGATATACAAAAATTTGTCTAATGCTCAGGAACCACTAGAGAATACAATGGTACGTAAACACAATCACTTGAGAAGAAAAACACTTTTTCCTAATTAATTGGAATTAATACACTTCACATGTCAAAAACTTCCCGTACCTTTAAACTAAGTGCATTTATCAACACTGAGTTCCATCATGTAATGCAATCTGAAGGACAGCTCAGATATCCACATCCTGTTGAACTTCCATCCGTGTATTCAGATAAGAATTGAGGAAGCCAAGACAAACGCTCTACAACACTACAGCCTCTACAGGTAAACAAATTTCAACAATGAAATCAATTAAGGTAAGAAGCTCCACATTGCAACTGCCACTCCAAGCAGTCCTCCAAATCAAAACTGCTTGCACAATCTAACAATGCATTTTGCTGGTGCTCGTAACGACATATATAATTCAACCCTACTAGAAGCTCGCAGATAGCTGCTTCAGTCTTTTCCCTATTGGCAAAATACAGTGTCTGAAGCAGAAGAACATTGGTCCGTGTCACAATCTGCTGTTGCTCAAAATTACGCTCGCTTTGCCATCGGATCATGTTATGTGCCAGTGGAGCAAGCCACCTGAGTATCCCATCAAGGGTCTCTTTCCAATCATGAGCCAATGGAGCATCATAGATGGCCAAATTCTTGACATAGGACTTGAGATTAGTCCTTAGAGCCATTCTCATACTTGTTGGTAACATCTGATACAAATCATCCCTAGCCTCTTCACCAACTAAATGAGGGTATCGGAGCAACTTCTCAATAACAATTATCACATTTGCATAATGCAAGGCAAGAGCAGAGCCTCCCACAGTAGAGGGAGAAGCATACACTGATAACTTACTTTTAGGACCAAATTGTGCATTATTCAGTACACCACATTTTGGTTGTCTCTGAGTCTGACCTCCACTGAAAGGAACGCTAAGCTGGGACCGACAAAAAGAAGAACGATTCCAGCACTCTCTCTTCAATCCACCATTTGCAACACCATCACAGCGTGACATTCGGCTGATTTGGTCATCGGGATCAACACTCTCATCATCATCATCCACCCTAGAAACTGAACTGCTTAAATTAAGACAATCCATAAAAAGCCTTCCAGGACTAGTCGCACAAGGAAAACTAAAATCCTCAGCCCGAGAGTTAGCTACTTCAGTCTTCCGAGAATCAGTTCTTGGCTTCAAGCTTAGTACCTTTTTCTCCACCATAGTTCTATCTATAGGCCCTGAATGACATACATTGCTACTCCTACTAAAAACCCGTCTCAACTGCCCTGAAACCACTTGCTCTTGCCCGTAATGCCTCCCATTAACCTGGCCAAAAGCTTGTCCATATTCATCCTTCATTGACGGAGAAACAGAACTTCCACCATTGAACCCAGCTCTGTCCTTCTCCTCCGTCAAAGCAGAGTCCCCAAATATAACACGAATTCTAGCAAAAATTGTACACACCGTCCTTGCCAATAATTCCACAACCTTATCATATGTCTGGTCCCAAAGCGAAATTTCCTTCAGATGCTTCACATCCTGCTTCTGCCAAATCAATTTCTGCTCAAAAGCCCTACGGCTCTCCTCGTGCTGATTATGCTGAAACTTCTTGGTTGCTTGCTCTAGCTCATTCAAAACCTCCATTTCACAGTACAAATTCGAAGTACAATTCACATACCTCTCCATCTTTCTCACCATACCCTCCATGTCCTTCACCAAGAACCCCAAGTCCCTCACATCAATTACCCCATTCAAAATATCCCCAAACACATGCTCGAACCCCTGCAAAGCGGGTTCACAACACTTCTTCCCCAACCTCGACACAACACTGGCGACCCTGTTCAGGTCATCGAGCTTCTCAGCCAGAGCAAGCTCCAAGAGATAATTCTCATCAGAGGAAACCAAATTAGAAAGACCCTCCGACTTTAAGATCTCGTTCTTGAGCCTCGAGATCTCGGAATCGGTCAGGGACTTGTGCAGGTGCACGGTTTTGGACATGACATTGGCGACCTCGAAAGAGAGTATGCCAATGGTCTCATGCTTCTTATTGGGGTTCTTCTTCTTCTTCTTCGAAGAATGCTCAAGAAGAAGAGCGTGCTTCAGATTGGCGCTTACCTGGTTACCCATTTTCACTATCCAAGCTTCTGCTACCATTGCTCCCTTCCAATTCAAGATCTGCAAACCTGGGTCCAGTTGGAAACCGGAAGACTGAAGTGGGATCGTCAAAAAGCACAAACCTTCAGCATCAACGGCATAGAGTTTCGCCAGGAGAAGCTCGCCGGGGATAAATGGAGAAAAATGAAGAAATTTGAGAAGCGCAGTGAAGTTTAGGCGTGTGCTTGGATGAAGGGGATCAGTATTTGTAGGGAGCAGTGAAGTTGTGTCATTTTACCATATTACCCCGCTCTCTTTAAATATTTGGGTAAAAACATACTTCAGTTCCTAACTTTTCTGATATGGGACACATTTGTCCTTGACCTCCATTTTGAGACAATGGAGTCCAGTCCCTAATGTTTTTGAAAATGGTACTTAATGTCAATGATCCGTCTGTTTAACTCCAAACGGAGTTTTATGCTTGCCATGAGAGTCCATCATAGACGCCATTGTATTGTTGATTGGCCGAAAAAAAAAAAATCATAGATCCCATTGTGTTTCAAAACATCTCTTTAAATCTCTATTCATTTAATGTTCTAAATTGAATGAAATGATAAAAATATTAGGAATAAACATGTCTCATGCTAGAAATTTTACAGATTGATGTTGGAATGCATTATTAGAGTTGAATATGACTTTCCAAAAAATCTAGAAGTACCTTTAACAAAAAAAAATTATATTTATTAACAATATAAGTAGCTTAGTGTTTAGCTTAGTAATTAAGGAATAAGAAATTATTACATTTTGCAACTTCAAGTAAAAAAATAATATATTTGACCTAGTTCCAACATTTATAGTAAAAAGGAAAAAGAAAGCTGAGCCAAACGAGCAAATAATACAATTGCTTCATTCATTGGCCCAAAAAAGAATCCATTGCTCATTGGCAGACAAAATGTTACACAATTTGTTGGTGACAGAGGATCTGTTGCTACAATGTACTTTTGGATTCTCTAGAGTCAAATTGGCTGATTATAATACTTCTCTCCAATGGAAAGAATTGGAAGGGGTGTAGAAGAATAATGTGTGTAGTGGGGCCTATTTTCCAAGCGGTTTAGTAAAATGTAGGCATAAATTTTCTGGCAGGTTTGAAGCTACTTTCAGCCTGTGTCATTTTGTTGGAAAGATTTAGGTGTTGTTTACCTGCTCCTCTTTCATTCCTTGTGTTTGTTAAGTACAAGTTGTAACTTCTTCATCTACCGACTTTTGATAGAAACTTTTCATAAACGTCCAAACTGATCTAACTAGAAAATTAAAAACCGTGTTGACTGTTGAGAAAAGCCTAATTAACTTATATATTACTCAACATAAGAAGCCTAATTAACTTATATGTTACTCTACATGATATCTGACAATACCTTTGTGATGTAATTTTTATTGTTTTTTTAATTATAAAAAACAATATGTACTTTATTGAGTACAAAAGATATTTAAAAATCTTTTTTAATTTAAGCATGGCATGTAAATTGATATGCATCTGCCTATTGAATGCAAAAAATCAAAATTGCTTCAAATATTCATATGGGACACATAAGATGAAAAATAGAATTGAGTTTTCTGAGAAGTAGTTTTTGGGAGTGTTTGACTTGGGGCAAAAATCACGTCGATATGTTAGGGGAGTTGTGATAGTTATGACTGATTTTTAGAGTTAAAATTTAAGATGAATTTATAATAATTATTGATGATAATATGGATCTGTATAAATTTATATAATCAATAGTTAAAATAATTTTTTCATAAAATAAAATCCCAATAATTCACTACTCCTTCGTGAATTATAATGAATTTTTTCTCCTTAAAAAAAAAAATTCTGATTAAATTGGCGAATGGCTCATGGACCACTTTTAGGTGAGGACCATGTGCCTTCAATTTTGTGACTGCCTTTTAATTTACTTAGATGTTAGATGTCAATGTGATCCATTTATATAGCATGGTCCTTTCTTTGGGTTAACCCAATTCTCTCTAACTTTTTCACTCTTTTCCTGGCTTTTCCATTAAAGGAAACATTATTGTGAAGTTTCTTTCTCTTTCTTTTGGAACAATCCCAATGATGTGGCCCCTAAACTAAGTTACTTGGTGCAATCAAGTGCATTTACAAATTGCCATGTCAACCAAGCTCCTCAGGATCACTTTTGTAACATTGAAACCCCTTTCCTACACAATCATGCCACTAAAAATCATACCTAATGGAGCATTCAAATTCATGTTTTTCATTAATGGCTTGCTGAATGACCTTTCTTATTTGATGTGAGAGGCGACATGATTTTCACAAATACAATTTTAAGTAATAATAACCTCAATGTTTATCAAATTTTTTTAAAATTCTTTCGTCTCTAAAATAATCAAGTTAAAAGACCATAATAAAGAGAAGATAACCTCATGAGATCATGCGTTATCTCCCATTAACTTTGACCTTTAGTGATATGATTGTGTAGTTGAGGGGTTATACAGTACAAATTAAAGTTGTGCTAATAATAAAAAAAAAAAATCAAGACTTTACTTTTAGGGGCGCTATCAAAATTTTATAAATTCGAGTCTCTAGGTCTTTAAAAACATACCAATTATTCTGAACTTCTGTAAATACATTGAGCTTGAGAGAATGAGGAATCTATGAAATTAACCCTCTTTTTTTTTGGGTTGATCTCTTGATTCTTGTATGAAAGATACCTTCAATCAAACTCGCTAGGTAATGATAAAAAATGGGAATTATCTCATATCAATCAAGAACAAAAGCTTTTGGTTTTTTAATAGGAATATAGATTAGTCCACATGCAAGGCTGCAATTCGTATCTATATGACACACAGGAGCAATCCACATGCCTGTCATCTGGCCCCCATCCAAGAAAAGAACAAAAACATAGTGGAGAAGATACGTTTAAAGGTAGAAGAAAACCAAAAAAAAGGTTAGGTTGATAGTTACAATTTTCCTTCCAAATTTGATATATGTTTGCTTTTGGACTTACTTTCATGAGGGGAATAATGGAATAATTTAAACAACAGCAACAAGACTGTTGAATTTGTCCAACACACTTCCCTCTTTTTTTTAGGGTGTCATTGTCTTAGTTTGCTTAGTTCTTTTGGGTTGGAATTGGATTCATCCTTTTCACTATTGATTAAGAGATGATCAAATCGAAGTCATCAATTTGTAAACCGCTTTGTAGCTAGCAATCAATCTACTAAGTATTGTTTTATACAAAAACCTTTTAGGATAAATTATGGTTGATAATTAGACATGTCTTTTTCATTATGGATTGGTTCTTCTTTGTTTTTTCCAAAGCAGGTTAGGAATTATAACCAAATCCCATAATGACAGAATGGAAAAGAGGAGATGAATCTGTCTTTTTCTCCCCCTCTTTTTCCTCCCTCAAAGTTGTTCGGGTTTTTTAGTGTTTGATGGCCCAAAAGGGTTTGGGTTTTTGACAAAACATAGGCCGTGGCCGTTGGGCTTTAAATAAAAAAAACTAGAAAATAACCTAGCCCATAACAGATACGACAGCACTTTCCACCCCAGCCTTAACCTGTGAAGCAATAAAAATTAGTACGCAAATTCTTGGCGTGAGCTGACTTGGTTGTCTCCAGAAAGCGACACGTGTCCCACATCCATTGTCAACTCAACACTTACAAATACACAACCTGACTGCAAAATTTTCTCTGTTCTTTGAGTATTTGAGACTCAGAGATGAGTCGATCCGAGGGAGTTTACCCCCGAGTAATGCAGGATGTGATTGAGAAAACCCACCAACGTTTCGTGGAACACTATGGTGATGATTCAAAACTCGCTCAAATGCAAACGGTATCCCCTTCTTCCCAACCCTTTTGTTACATATAATGTAATGTATTATGTATGTGTGCCACCTGAACTGAAGTTAGCTGTTTAGCGTTGTAAAGGTTTGACCTTGACATCAAATTTGATGGGTAATAACTCGGCTAAGCTCTTGATTACTACTAAATGCAATGTGGTGCTTGTGACTGTAATCATGGGACTTTTTATTAGCTGAAAATGGATGCATCTGTTGTATGCTAAATTTTCTTTCCTTTTCTTCATTGTTGTATACCAGATATGGAAGTTGAAGATGGTGAATTCTGGAGTCATACCAGCTGCTCATGTGACTCCTGTTGTGAGAAATGTCCATCCCAAAGGTGTAAGTGTACTGACTCATGTTCATGATGTTGCAAAACAGAAGTAGGAATAAAATGGAACTCCATCAATAGTGATTTCTTTTCCACTAGTAGCAAAGCTAGGATTGGGAGATCAAAAATAGAAGACTAATGTTAAAAAAGAATGCTTTTGATTTTTTTTTTTTTTTGTAATTTGTGTTAGCATCTTTCTTGTCTTGCCACAAATTTCCCATAGTCACACTATGCCTCATCTGGTGCTGGCTGTTTTTCCCTTCCTCACTTTCTTCATTTCTCACCTTTATTGAATTCACTGCTCTGTGCATGGTATAGTCACGTTCTTAAAATCCTTTGATCCACATCAACATGTCAGAGATATAAATTCTGTCTAATTTTGCTTTGTATGTTAATGATGGTTGATTAAAATCATTGGTTTAATATAACAGGGTTGTGATGGATCAAAACGTTCTCGCTAAAAGAAAGATAATGAATCAAAACTTAAATCATCTGCGGAATTAAAGCCTGGGAAGATAGCTGCTTACATGGTATCCATTTTGAGATGCCTCTGAGTACTAACATTTATCATTATATATGTGCGATTTCCATCTTTAAGAATGAATTCAGTCTCCCTCATGAATTTTCAATTTATACAAGTGAGGAAGCAGTAAACATATAGGGGAATTTCTAGTGTTTCTGATCATGATAGCATTTGTTTTTTCTCTTGCAGCAACAGCCGTGTCGACCTTGGCTCAACCATAGACCACTTAAGGACCATGTAAACGATAGTAAGACCACTCGAAGATTTGAACTTTCTGTCATAAAACTTACTGAACCCTATCTGCATTGAAATTTGAAAACGGCATGATATGTTTCATAAACAAACTTACATGATATATTATCCTTTTCAGGTTGCAAAGAAGCAAAGCAAAAACCTGAGCTGGAGCTCTCCATTATGGTTACCTTTGCCATTTAACTTTTTCTCACTCATTGCAATTTGCAATCAGTAATTCTACATGCATAAACCATTAAAAAATGAAATTAAACATTGAACTAACTAATTATATGTTTTCGACTGAAATCATTTTTGCTGCTAACTTGTCCCTATTGTTCCATTATGCTTAATGCTTCAAGAAAATCAATTTTCTTTGAAGAGCCTACAACAAAAGGACCATTTTCTTTGTTCAGTCAATCGATTTTCTGTTTGAATAGTCCCATATACTCACAATTCCTTTACATTTTGAACCTAGACTTAGATTACTACCATTTTGGGTGTCTGGTGCAACCTAATGTTTCCTCTCTCAAATGCATTAGTTATGATCTGTTTCTTAGAAAGCAAAGGTTATAGGTCAGATTCACAGACATGTCTTAGAACACAGAATTCATGTTAACCTCGTATCATTGTTTTCTTCTATCTTTTTCACATTTGCTTGGTACAGTGTGTTTGGATATTCCTGATAAATACTGACATTCCCGTGCCTATCACTGCAATATCAGTTTAAGGTTTAAAATGATCTTGAACCATATTTACTTACTCTTGCTAACTCTGCTTTTGTTTTCTTCTATCTGAAAGAATCTGTCACCATACTGGTAATAATAATTAGCTGTTAGTGAGTACTTTCCTGGTTTAGAATGCAGAAACAGAAGCCAATATTGCTGTCCATTAGGTGTAATATTTCCCCAAAGTATCCATTTTTCTTCCATTTTTGTTCAGGATTCCACGGTGATGCCACCATCTAGGAAAAGGAAACAGCAGCAGCTTCCTTCAAAATTGTATGAGAAAAGATGTATTCTTCAGCTAGATGATTTGGGGGATACTATTTCAGACCACTCTGCTCATCAACAGATCAGTGGAATATCTGTCAAAAGGCAATGGGGCATTTAGGCCTTTGTAATTGACCATTGATTCCTACAGAATGCCTGCCCTCTAATTTCCTAATACCCCCTCTGTTTACTTTTAAAAGTCTTAGTTTAATTTTTTAAATATAAATTTTAAATAAAAATTTTGTAATTTACATGTTGATAAAATTTTACAATTTATATAAATAATAATTAAAAAATTTTTATATG